TTCAAGCCATTTTCGAAAACAAGCATGAGTTGTTTTGTTCCAATTCTCGTGATCGAGTCTATACTTGTATGCTGTGCGTATCACAAAGTAAGATCAGCTAATAAATGGAATAAGAACACATGGTTTATAAAACAACATATCATGCTTGGTAAAGGTCGATCCTTTGATCAGGCGAGCGGGGGTGCTCATTTCAGGACTTTCCCCTCTCGTACCCAAGTTCTCGAGCCGAGGCAACTTTGGTAATGACGGACACGTGGCCTTAGGCATGAGTCAGGGTTTCCTAAATTTTCCAAAATAAAATATTTAGGTGGTGACTCTGTAATCTGGCAAATCAGTCCATGTTTGGCACTTTTTATTCAAAATTGATTTTCCAAAACGATTCGCCGGATTTGGACTCTTTGGTGTTTATCAGTCTCACATTATACTTTGTGAGATTAGATTCAGAACCGCGACAAGAGTCCGAACTGTAGTAGCTATGAACCCAAATCCGCACCCCCTCCAAAAGGGGGGCGCACGGAGGAAGTTCAGGCGGTCTACAATGTCATTTGCCAAACATTTTACATTTTTATTTCAAAACAATGCAATGCCAGGATTATATATCAATTCATAAAAAATATACTCTTATATTAGAAAACAGGGCAGTGGACACAAAGCACTGGGAATTTCTAGGTACGAGTCTGCCAATAGGCTGTAGAAGCACTATCAAAAGCCATTTTACCGGTACTAACCGAAAGGATCGTCACCTAACTGCTCGGGTTTCTAGACTTTCACCAAGGACACACAAATCAACATAATAACCACAACCACACCCCTTTAATTAGATTCACCAAGGTATATACCCTTTTTGTTTTTCAAAATAATACACTTTTAAATGTTTAAGTGTGAAACAATGCTCAATGCAAGATGTATGAGTTATTAGTTTCAATTCACCTAATCCTCATGTAATTTTTATAACAATCAAAGTTATCCTCCACCAATAGCCCAAAATAGATATTTCTACTCAATAGATAATTTTCCAACAATAGATATAATCTCATTATTTTAAAAATAGGAGCGATACTACATATCCAACTTCACTCTCATCATCAACAGATACATTCCTTTTATCTTTTTAAAATCTAACATCTTTTTCCTTTCATAAATCAAATATCAATGATTTTTTGAACAAAACCTCATTTACTTTCAAAATCACATTTAAGTAAGGGAATTCCAACATTTTAACACTACCCAACATTTTAAACACTTCCACAACCTTCCTTAAGAATCTATTTGAAAATCCCCTCTTTTATATTTCAAAATCAAATCCTAGGTTTAACCAAAATCTCCAAATCACTAAACATTTTCAAGGAGCAAATAACTAAGCTAAGAATCATACCAAATGTTGAAGAAATCCCAACCTCAAGAGTAGAAGAGGAAGATAGCAAGGGCAAAACTTTGACAGATCGAAAAACAAGATCTTCTTCGATTAGAATGAAACTTTTGACAAGCTCTACCTTTTTCTCCAAAGAGCTATGATGAAGAAATCAATAGGTGATGGTGTATTTGAGCTTTTAAAGCAAGAATTAGAGAGAGTGAGAGTGAAGAAATTAGGGTTTGGAATGTTTTAGAGAGAAAGGAAGTGAAAAAGTGATAAAATTTCTCTTTTCTCGAATTGATATACGCACAGACTGTTTGAGCAACCAAATCACTGCTCGAGCGTCAGACACAATAAGTGCTCGAGCGACCGAAAACACCGCTTGAGTACACAATGACCCCCTCCTAGAAGTTTAGACTAGCAAAAGACCGCTCAAGCGAAGATCACCCTACTCTCAAAAGTTTTTGCAGACCTGCAAAATGCTAGGAGATCTCAAAGACTGCTCGAGCGAGCAAAACACTACTTGAGCGAACAAGAAGAAAACTGGACAACAACTCCTTTGAAAGACTAACTCCTAACCTGTTTCAAACACAACAAACACTCAACTTAACTACTAACAAGATGAAAAGGACATGAACAACAATTCAAGACATGAAATCCCAACTCTAAGAGTAGGAAATGGGTCGGGTCTAAACTGGAACTGTTATACTTGATGTTTGACAATACATAATTCATTGATCAATCGATCACCTTCTATACATCAAGGAAACTCATATATAAACACCCTATAATATAGAACACTTTGTATTTTTCTCCTCTCTGAGAATCTAGACGGGTTCAACCCTAAAACGAGCAAATGATGCACTTTGTATTAAATAGAGTCGCGATGATCGCTCGAGCACTCACTTTACTGCTTGAGAATCTAGACGGGTTCAACCCTAAAACGAGCAAATGATGCACTTTGTATTAAATAGAGTTGCGATGACCGCTCGAGCACTCACTTTACTGCTTGAGCGGTGTAACTAAAAGGTGGTGCCTAAATGTAGGCCAATCGCTAGAGCTCAAGATCTACTGCTCGAGTGGTAAAACTTGCCTCCCAGAAGTTCAGAATGTAGGCAGAGATACTGGATGGAAAACTTCACCGCTTGAGTGCATAAAAGACTGCTTGAGCGATTAATCCACTTTGACTTCTTTCTTGGCAACTCAATCTCCGTACATAGTCAGCGGAGTGGCAAATAAGGATTGCTCAAGTCAAGATGCTGAATGTCAGTACAAACTGCACTACTCAAGCACAACTCGGATTGAATTTGTATCTAAACACTCACAGCTTTACTGAAACAAAAGAGTAAATAAAATTACAATTGAAAGGAGCCTTGTCAAACATGATTGCTAATTACAAGAACCTAACAGTATATACACATAATTTATTATATCAAATTCTCTTATTTTATATTTGGTTGCATCCTTGAAACTAATCTACTAATTGTCATAGTAGTGGTGGCGGAGTGGTTATGGCAGTAGTTGTGGCAACGACGGCCATGATGGTTGTGCTTGTGGCGGTAGTGTGATGGTGGAGGTGATGGTGGCGGTCATAATGTAGTGGTATTGGCAAGTCTTTAATTCGAAAAATGATTTCCATCTCTTTTTTTTATTGAAAAATATTTTTGGCTAAATTTAAGTTTTTTTGTGTTAATTATGAAAAATATTTGTTGTTAATTTTTGCTTTTTTATCGTACGAAATGTCAACATATATATTTAAAAAATTTATCTAAAGAAATAGAGCCCAGAGACAGATTCAAGTAGAGACCGAGGGTCATGTGCCCACTTTGACTTTTGATTTTTTTCCCCCCCTCTCAAGATGAGCATAGCAATTATCGCTTTTTTAAATACAAGATGTGGCCCAACCCTCACCCTCACTTTCTTATCACAATAGAGGTTTTTGATTATTTAGGTCTTGTTTGGGAACAAGTTTTTTTAGTAATTTTTTGACTTTTTGACTAAAATATGAGGTAAAAAAAATTAATATGTTTGGAATGACTTTTTTAATTTTTTACGAAAAGATGTGTAAAAAGTAGAAAGAAAAGAGAATATTTGATTTTTTGCTATAGGTTATAGGTTTTTTGATTTTTTTAGTAACTTTTTGACTTTTACGCTAAAACAATTACATGCCAAACGAGGCCTTAGTATTAAGTTTTTGATTTATAATTATTTATTTTAAATTTTAGGGATTTTGATTTGATGTTGAATTAAAAATTTTGATTTATGGTGCTTTGCGCTAAAATTAGGGATTTTGATTCAACCCATTGTAGAGAGTAATTTTAGTTATAAATATTGTAAAGAATTAGTTGCTGAACTAAGTAATTGATCAATGGATGAATGATAACTTAAATATATAGAAAGAGATATTTTTATAGTACTGATAATAATAATTTCATGAAAAGTTTTGAAACGTCTAGATTGACTATACACGTTTACATAAAAAATTTGTGAAATGATTCAAGTTACTATGATGAATACTAGCTAAAACAAACTATGACTATCTTATTGTTGAGTATAAGAAAAAAAAAATTGAGATTATAAATAATAGGTGCCTCTCCTAAACTAACTTTTTGGCTTCACGATTGATGGAGTCTAAGGACTATTTTGAGAAGATAGTTATAATCAGTTTTTTGGTTAAAAACTGCTTATAAGTAGTTTTTTTGTGAGAGAGAAAGTGAGTTATAATCTGAAAAGTGGATTATAACCCACTTCCCAAAAAGGGCCTAAAAAATTTATTCGTTACGAAATGAGATCTCATGCAATCTTGTTCCCTCTTATGCTCTCAGGTGAGACTCTGCAATTTTTGTAACGATATAATGGACTATTTTGGGTAAATGGTTATAATCAGTTTTTTGGTTAGAGGAAGTAGATTATAACACACTTCTCAAAAGGAACCAATATAATGGTGTATTTGGATGTTAGTGTAATATGTAAGCAAAAATAAAAGAGGGAATGCTGTTTTTTTAGGTTGCTTCAATGAAAGTGCACTAATTGTGTATAGTGAACTAAGAGCATCTATAATAGAGTGACTAAATTTGTGTGATATATAACAAAAAATAATAAAAGTGAGTCTCTTTTTTTTTTTTAGTTTAAAGAGTGAGTAAATGATATAATGGACATGTTATAGTGTGTGTTAAATAAAAATAAAATGTAATTAAATATATATAAATACTTATATAAGTAATAAAATAATAAAAATAAATAAAAAAAATTACAAGCTGTCAATCTTTCATTTTTCCTCTCTTGCTCTCTCATTCTCTCAACTGTTAGTCGCCTCGGCACAGTTAACTAATCGTGTAGCATTTGACGCCAAAATTTATTCTTAAAATTATAGCTAACAACTCCACTTGAGAACAAATATCACATTAACTAGCTTTAAATATTAACATCTAACATTAGTGGGAGCTCTAGCCAGTCGAATCCGGATCCTCGGTGCCCCTTTCCTGCGGCACACCCCTGTAGCCCTCCAAAACGACGTCGTTTTGGAGGGTTTTTTTTTTTTTTTTTTTTTTTTTTTTCTTTTTTTTTTTGATAAATAATCAAACTTTATTAAAAAGTATCAAGAAGACGCAAAGAATACAAAAACGGCCTCAAGAGCCCATTGAAACTAACTAATCAAATTCTCCACAAAATCTGTAAAAGCCAATACATCTGGATCCACTAATCCTATCACCCAACTATACAGAACAGTAAGAAGGCGCCTCTCTAACCAAGTGATGGAATGAGCCACCCCATGAAACACCCGCTTGTTTCGCTCCAACCAAATCAACCAAAGTAAACAATGCAAGGCAAGAATCCAAGCCTTTCGACGCCTCTTCCCCACCCTCCCCCCGACCCAACTCTGCAAAACTGCAAACAAAGAACCCGGTCGGACCCAAACCAGCCCAAACATTGCCACCACAAGCATCCAAAGACGAGAAGAGACCGAACAATGAATAAGAAAATGGTCAACCGATTCCACAGCCTGACTGCACAAACAACACCAATTCACCAAAATATGCCCATGACGAATCAAATTATCAATAGTCAAAATACGACCCAAACTCGCCGTCCACACAAAGAAGGCAACCTTGGATGGCGTGCCTGACACCCAAACATTCTTCCACGGATAGACGAAGGTGCCATCAACAACACACTTATCCGCAACAAGCGCCCCATAGAACGAAGACACCGTGAAAATACCTTTGGCCCTGGGACAATCCCAAACCAAGGCATCATTATTTACCTGTCCAAGATGTAAACCATATAAAAAACCAAGGAGGTCCACTAATTGATCTAGCTCCTAGTCTTGGACATGACGACGCAGCTGCACGTTCCACACCCTCAACTGCCCCTCCCCAACCCTCACAGCACTCACCAACACCTCAAAATTCGAAGCAATAGCAAATATCAAAGGGAAACGAAACTCTAAAAACCAGTCACCACACCACCTATCCCGCCAAAAACGAACTCTATCCCCCACACCAATTTTGAACCTCACGTGCCGCCAAAACACTTCCCGACCCAACCAAATCCCTTTCCATAACCCGCAACCATGAGAATGACCCACCCGTCCCGAGCACCACACCCCCCTAACCACACCAAACTTAGCAACCACCACCCGTCTTCAAAGCCGCTCCCTCTCCTCCATGAAACGCCACAGCCACTTTCCTAACAAGGCCAAATTAAACAAGACCAACCTCCGAACCCCCAATCCCCCTTGCTCCTTAGACCTACAAATCCGATCCCAAGACACCAAATGATAATGACCACCCTCACCCCCATCACCCCACAAAGAGTCCCTTTGCAATTGCTCAATCCGCCTTGCTACAGAGACCGGGATCACATGAACAGACATAAAATAGGTCGGGATACTCGACAGAACATTTTTAATCAATGTAAGCCGCTCTCCCTTCGACAAATACTGACGTTGCCACCCTGCCAACCGACGATGCACCCGATCCACCACTCCTTCCCAAATCCCTGTCGCTTTAAAGGAAGCCCCCAAAGGCAAGCCCAAATATGTGACAGGTAACGATACCACTTTGCACCCCAAAATGGCTACCAAAACCGAAGACCTCGCCACTTGCCCCACTGAAATCAATTTTGATTTTGCTAAATTAACCCGAAGCCGACAATGTTTTCATGATAGACTTTTTTATTAGTTATAATATTTTGGCTTCATTTAACATCCACACAACCACTAAATTAGCAAATCTTGATACAAAATTAACGTCTATTTTTATTATTTTTTGTCATTCATACAACAATAATACAAATAAATTTAGGGTAAATTAGACTAACACCCCCTCAGTACTTATGAAATCACACTACATCCTCTTTATTTTGTGAAATATCATTGTCACCCTTTGTCAGGTAACTCTGTTTAATGTTATAATAAAATTACTAAAATACTCTTGTTTAATTAATTATTTTCTACTTAAATTAGGCACATTATAGAGCTAAGTCAAAGAAGAGCACATGACCGGAGAGAGAAAATGAGGTCACCACAATGACTACTCCTTTTACCACTGTGAGAGAGATAGATATGTTACTCCACCAACCAAATGACTGTTCGTTCCACAACCGTCCCTGGTACGCCGTCGCTACCAACACTTAACCATCCAACATCATGCCATCAACTCTTCACCGAAAATTATATCTACCTCGCGACTGACGTAGCTGTCCAGCCCTCCACTACCATTGTTGATGTTGTGTCTGCAACGATTGACCAGAGAAAGCCAAGTGTTCGACAAAATGTTTACGTCATGGTGGGTGTATTTTATCAATCCTGTAAGCTTTTTGGAGGGGTTATGGATTGGATTGGATTGAAGACTCTAGTAGAGGTGGTTTATGAGTGGAGGGGGTTGTAGATGTGATGTGTGGAGGTTGGATTGGGGGGCAATGATGACGGTGTTTTAAAGCTCTCTTTTCAATTAGGGCATTTGGCATAGTGATGATGTAATAGCATTTCTGATATGAGATCTCGGGTTCAATTCCTATAAAGAGGAGATTGATATCCTTTGTAGTGATTTATTTTTCTCCCATTATAGAGTTGTATGTAATTCGTAGTGGTTGTGTTGGGCTTGGGCTAGTTGGTTTATTGGTTGTTAAGTTTTGTTGACTTTCTAGTTATTATGGGCTAGGGGTTTATTTGATGATAAACATATTTCTTATATTTATAATTACTCTCCTATCTATTGATAAATAAAAAAAAAAAAAGAAGAGAAGAAAAGCTCCATTTCCATTTTTATTTTTGTGATATGTAGGTGAAGTTATAGAAGGTATTTGTGTTTACCACTTAAAAAACCAAGGGACGAACACGTAAGATGTGTTTACTAGGATTTGATACGGGTGTGCCAGAACTTGTAAGCCTAGTCCAAGGTTAGGATTGTTTGGATATTTCAGACTTCTAACACAGAGAAATGATTGTGTGTGGCTCAGAAGAACCACCATTAGTTTGGATCTTGCCTCAAAGAAGAGGACTTACTAAATTTGCTAGGTACAAAAGTTAACTAAAGTAGAATTGAACTTTCATTGATCGAAATACGAAGTATAATTGTTTAATCTAAAGATAATTTGGATAAACAACTAATTGCATGGAATTGAATTGCTTGAATAAAAGATAAAAGCTGTAAGAAGTTAAGATAAAGGTTATGAAAAGCTATGATAAATGTGTAGATGAACTCTTGGTTAAGTGTTTGGTGCTGGACCCCTTCAAATGTTTCACTTTGAGTCCTTTTTATAGTGTTGAGGATGCTTCCATTTCTGCACAATTGCCAAGAACGTAGGACTGGGCATAGGGTTATCCGAATTGCCAAATCTGAACCGATCCGCATACAAACGGGTAGTTTCACAGATACAATGCGGGGGATGCGGTTTGAAATATGACATAATTACAAGGTGCGGATGGGCTGCGAGTTTAACCTGCACCTGCAAGAACCCGCCCGCACTTAGACCTTTTTTTTAATAAAAAACTTGGACCGTTGTTATTTTATTATTGCATTTTGGACGAATGTAAAAGTTAATGAAGAATTACTTTTAAGTAAGCTTAGGCTTTTGAATGATTTTACTTAATTATATTGTTAGGTAGTAGATAATAAATGAGATTGATGATCTAGTTTAAGATGTTGAAAGATGTACTTGTGTTAGTTTACGATTTGATTTAAAATTTAGGATTTTGAATGATTTGTTTGTGTTAGGAATTGATTTTGCTGTGTTTTTAATTTTATAAGTTTTAATTCATTAATTATTAATGTTGAAACATTTTAGAAAATAAGAGGAAAATGACCCAAAATAAATATTTAAAAATGGGAAAAAAAATGCTCCAAAATAAATTTTTAAATAAAAAAAGTCCAATCCTCAAATCGCTCCGCAACCTCCCGCATATCTGTGAATCCTATCCGCACAAACAACAACCTGCACTGCGGGCAGTTGTGGGTTGAATTTTTCTCAAACTGTATATGTGCAGACGGATCCAAACACTACAACAAAAAGCAGTTTTAGCGACTAAAAATATAAATTTCGACACTGAAAGTAGGACAATTGGCGACTAAAATTGAATTTCATTTTTGGCGACTAAAACAGTTTAGTAGCCAAATGTGTAGTTATTGGCGACTAAAAATCAGTTTAGTCGCTGATTATATGGGTTGTAGCGACTAAAACAATTTTAGTAACCAAAAGTGAAGGTTTTTGGCGACTAAAAAAATTTAGTAGCCAAAAGTATAGGTTTCGGCGACTAAAAAATAGAAAAACATAATGCAATTAAAGAAGGGGGAAATGAAATAAGCAATTTAAAGCTATTAGAAAAACTTTTTCCCAATCAACTAGAATAACAAGATAATCAGACCACCGCAATGGCCGCCCTAGTGGTAAAGGAGATTGCTCCTCTCCTTGCTACCAAGGTTTGAATCCCCATTACATTCAAGTGGAAGCCAGGGTTTTAAGGTGGACCCGCCAGCTTTTCCCAGTTTGCTTTGGCCCACATCAGTCATAATAGCGGGTGTGGGGTAGGTCTGGGCATCAAAAAAAAAAAAGAACAAGATAATCAGATTCACAACTAACGTACAAACCTCTATATGTTCCAGTTAAGTTCCAAGTAGAAAATGGGCCAAATTCGTTCTCTATTAATACGGGTCAATATACTATATAAATAATATATTTTGCATATATATTCATGTAGTGTTATTGTGGCATAGTGGAGAGAGTGTGTTGCTAAAGGTTTAGAATGTGGGAGGTTGGTCGTTCAAAACTTAGGAAGAGTAGAGGGTAATTATTTTTTTATTTTATTTTTTCTGAAATAAGCTTTTGGCGACTAAAATGGGTGGTCGCCAAACGCTTCAGTATTGGCGACGAAAAAAATAGTCGGCAAATGTATAAATTAAAAAAAAATTCACTATTGGCGACTAAAAATTTAGTCGCCAAATGTATAATTTAAAAAATATAAATGAGCTTTGGCGACGAAAATTTTTGTCGCTACAGACTTGGTTTTTGGCGACTAAAAGTTTTTTAGTTGCCAATACCTTTCGTGACAGTTTTCCAGCGACCAAACCGGCGACTAAAAAATTTAGTCGGGGAAACTTAAAAACTGACTTTTGGCGATTAAAAATTTAGTCACCAAATGTGTTTTTTCTTGTAGTGAAACCGATCCGCAAACCATCCAAAATCGAGCCGCGACCATCCCTACGCGGTACCTTTTTCTTGTGACACTTCTCCAATTATCCTTGGCTTGATCCTCAAGTATGGCAGCAATTAAACTATTAACGACTAGTTGCCTCATTTTTAGCTCTTAGTGGATTCATAAAGCCTCTCCACTTGCCACGTGTATAATTTATTTGTCTAGGAATAAAAATTAACAGAATACTTAGCACAATTATCATAATAACAATGATGATAAACAATAATTTAAATAGACAAAAACAAGAGTAGAGAAACATAGCTATTATAATTTGAGAGTCACGTTGTCACTGTCTTAAAAATGATTTTCCTTTCATGAAGATACAATCAAAGTGAAGCAATTCCAAAATAAATTACAAGTTGCTCACAACATCTCTCATCTAGTATTCACGACCGTTAGAAAATTTGAACCAAGCCACAAACTAGAGTTGCCCAAAACAATATAATATAAACATAAAAAATATAAAGAACTCTCTCTAATACCTCTCATTTTTGAAATCACATTTTCTTCTCTACATCTCCCTTTAGAAACCATATGTATATATATTGCCTCAGAATTAAACCCATGATAGCACAATAAAGTATATTACATAAAACATAATAATGAGTAATAAGTTTATAAAACATTTCAGACTTTTCCACCACAATAAAATCGACACTTTAACTTGAATAATATTGTAACAACACTTTGTAATAAAATAATATTTATTCTATATGAATTTTGCATAACAATCAAAGACTTAAATGATATTTTATTTTTATTAAAATATCCTAACAATCCCTCGCTTTTAATAATAAAAATAAAATTTTTAATATTTTCATAAAATTTGTTATATACCCCAACATTTCAAAACTATAATTGAAACAATATAAAATCAAGTATATATATAATATGAGGTAACATATACTATGTAATAGGTGTAGGTGTCTTCCAAACTTGAACCTCCCTTAGTATTAATAGTTTCCCTCTGAAGAATCATAGTGAACTAGGTTTTGAACTAGACTCTTTGTACCAAAAGTCAACATGTCACATACACAACACTGATACTGAACAATAGTTCGTGGGTTAATGCTTTTAAGGACCATGCACTCTAATCTTGATTCTCATGAAAATTTTAGAAACTAGTCTAAGTTCCACGGTTGCAGCTTTACGATGGTTCCCACTTAGTAGAATCCTCTTAGGGTGCAACAACAGAACGTACCTTGTAGGAGATTACCTGCCTTGGATTTATTTAGGATAAAATCCTTCGTAACCAGTCACTCAATAGCACTGCTGCCTAAGGATAGGTAAAATAACCACTCTTATGGTGTCTCCTAAAATGTAAAGTGCTGGAATCAAGTTACACTTTAAGGATTGTTTCTACCCATTGAACTTCTTTATGGGATTGCCAATCAAAAAGGTTGGGTTACTTCCTTAGGTGACTTTCTTAGGGCTTAGCCCATCCCCCTCGACAAATATGAATGAACCTAGTTTGGCTAGTCCAAAGGCAACATAAAGTCCTCGAGTTTATTCATTTGTATTTGACTCAATATTTAACTTCACAAGTCATAATAATTTTGAACTTCTCAAGTTTCAATTTTGTTTTTTCATATTGGCTTCTCAAGCCTAATTTCTATTTCACATGTGTTGAACATTTCCACAATCACGCCACAAATTCTTTTAGGGACTCACTTTGTAAAAAAATTTAATTGGACTTATCATGCAAATATATCTAATTTTTTATCAAAGCAACATGGACCCATCATGCAAATAATGTCCTTATACTTTCCGAATCAAGGCATATTGGATTCATCAAATATATTCAATCCAACTCTTAGTAGTCAATAACCTTACTACTAGGAATCACAATTTTTCGTAATCGGTAGCCTATTATTACGAACTGCACATTATTTCTAGTAATCTCACAATTTATTAGGAACCACAAAATTTTCAACATATGACCTCTAATCTTTGTACTACTAGGAACCATTATTTTATATATTTGGCTAGAGATCTCACACCCACTAGGAGCCACTAGTTTCGTTTCACTGTTTCCATGCCTCACATTACAAATATATTTTGAACTACAATAAATAAATATTCACCTTTTTCCAAGAGGATGAATCTTTAGAATATTTTTTTTCCCTTTTCGAAAAACCACAAATAATCCTTTTTTTTTTTTAAAACCACCAAACAACTTGGGCCTCCTTTTCACAAAATAAGAATTTGTAAACATACAAATAATTTCATTCACCCCTATATTTTGTGATGTCTTGTGTGGGATGTCTGGAAACTAATTTGGGGCCTCGTCAGCCATTTAAGTTCATTACTCTTGAAGTCTTCTTTGAAATTGCGTCTCCATTTTTTTTTCCAGAGTTGAGTTTCTTATTTCAGTGGCGTAGTTGGGGTTGGTAGCACCTTCTTGATTTTGCAAAATCAAGTGCTGGAGCAAATCGCACGTATGGGGGGAGGGGGTTGGAGCTGCGAGTGTGGGAGAGGTGTCTCATGTGCAGGAAGGTGAGTTGCACGTGCGGTGAAGGAGAGCTTCTAATCGTCAAAGACTAAAATAACCGTACGTGGGAGATGGGTGCCACACGTGCAGCAGGGCACGCTCCACATGTGCGACAAAAGGCACGCATTTACAGGAACAGTTGAGTTGTCTAAAATTTTTTTGTTTTCTTCATTTTGTCGCTAATTACTTCCAATTATGTTCGCAACAGAGTATATTGGAGGCAAAAAAAAAAAAGTCACAAATTTATCATTTTCAGTCACAAATTAATTTTTTCGTCTCCAAGACTTTTTAGCGACAACATTTTGGCGAAAAAATGGGTGACGAAAACTTTTCGCCATAATTAGTTTAGGTGACGAAATGTGTACATTTTGGGACAAATTTGTTTCATTTATAAATACCAAATTCGTTGTAGTGCAATGGTAACAATTACCCAATAAAAATTAAACAACTAGAACAACAAATACATAATATATATGAGATTCAAGCTTAACAAAAACAAATAACAAATTTGCAAATCATAGGAATATGGTAATACTGTGAACATGTTAGATGATTTACACAACAATATCAAATTAATAACTAGATAGATTACCAATGGATTATTGCAAACACAATCAGTGAGAACTCATACAATAGTTAGTTATAATAGTGAAGAATGAGATGATTAACTCAGTGGCACATGACAGTAGGAAATGTAGCAGCGACAAAAATGTAAGGAGATTAGGGAAGAGAGGGCAAACAGATTTATAGTGATTCAGTTTCAACCAAGCCTACATCCACTCCTCAAGCTTCACTTGAGATTTTATACTAATCTTCTAGCTTCACAGGGGTGCTATCAACCTCTTGTACATGGAGCGATCCTCCACAGACGTTACAAAGACTTTCCAAGTCTTCAAAATCTTGAAATCCTTAGATGATTCTCAACCACTCTCAAGGATTCAAGAACACTGAGTATATTACACTCTTACAAGATTGAAAAAGGTATTTTTGCTTTCAAAGAAAGCTACAAAGAAACTCTCTCAAGGAATAATACAAAGATTCAAGTTCTGAGTTGTATCAGTAAAAACCTCTCAAAGGTGTATATGCTTAATGCTAAAGCTCACAGATAATTTTTCTGAAGAGAAGGAAAAATAGATGAAAGACAATAATCTTCAGATGTATAGAGAGATGAGTAATATGTGAATGATGAAGAATGGTCAAATGTTTAGCACATTATGTCTCTATTTGGTATGTTGGTTTCATCTCCTGTTGCACTTCACAAGGCTTTGTATATAACAGAGTTTCAGTGCTCTGTTAAGTTCTGATAGAACCCATCTCTTCTTCCCGTTGAGGAGATGGGATGGTGATAGGTAGAGATGACATATAATTCATTTCTCAGAGATTCTTTGTCACCCATGTGTGTTTTGCCCGTTGAATGATGGCAAAAACATTTCTTTTCAGTTCACTGCTCGTTACTGATAGACACAACTTTTGTAGAGGGATGCCCGCCCAGATGTCCAAAACCAAACTTCGTTCTTCATGGACGTCAGCCCGGATGTCCGCCCGGACATCCGTCTGGATGTCTTGTAAAGTCCCAGTCATGAAGGTTAACTTCCACGGTCGTCGAGCATACTGCATGTGGGATAGTCGAAGCGAAGCAGACCGAAATGGAGTTGAACTGGGCCAAAATTACATGGCGGACGTCCGTCTCTCAGTGGGTTTGGCTCCTATGTTCTGCTATTTTGCTACTGCTGTTCTGCTGTTGTCTTGCTACTGTTTTAGGACTGATTCAACATTTGTTAAAGCTCAATTTTGATCTCAAAAACAATATAATTAGGATAATGACATAGATCAATCTTGATGCATGAATCAAATAACATGAATTCATCAACTAGTCTAAGATGATTCAAATCATTTGAAAAACATCCAGTAGTAACTTCATTTTGATCTCTAAACAACATGAATTATAAAAGATAGAATTGAGACGGATAAATCAATTAGTCATGTTTTCAAAACAATTTTACAGAATTAATCATTTTAAGATAAATCAAAACAATAAATTAAACATCGTCAAAATACATAATACCTAACATCAATCAAAGCCACTAGTGCCACATTAGAACACAAGCATAATGTACTAGTGCAGCTTCAGCAGCTCAAGCAAGCTTGTCATAGGCTACATGTGTTGACTCGATACTTGTCTGCCATGCCTAACACATCACAAGGTTGTAATGTTAGTACCTCATCTAGATACGGTTGTGCTAGTATGGTTAGTTAGTTACAAGAGCAGTTAGAGAGTTTGTTACAACAAACTAATTATATAAATACAAATATATTACCTATCTTGACAATCAATAAAAACATATCAGTTTATCTCTTTCTACATGGTATCAGAGCAATAAAGCTCTCATGAGCAAGGCCTTCAATGATGGAGCAATCTCCACTGCCATCAAACTTGAGTCTTCTCATTTCAAATTTTGGATCATTAGTTAAGTGAAGCTCGATTCAACCAATTCCTTGATATGGAAGAATCAAATGCAAAATGTGTTACGAACTACTAATCTCCAAGGGTTTGTGACTGGTTTGACTCCATGTCCATCTTCTAAAATCACAGATTCGACTGGTAGATCTGTTCCAAACCCAGAGTATATCAAATGGCAAAGAGTTGATGCTCATCTTTTGAGCGGTCTCACATCAACTCTGTCATCCACAATCTATTCTTCAGTTCTTCAACATAGTGCAAAGGTTTGGAAAGTGTTTGAGAAGCGATTTACTTCCTTGTCCAGATCATATATTCACTAGCTAAAGAATAAACTTCAAACAATCTAGAAGAAAACTTCATCAATGGAAGAGTATCTCTCTCAAATTAAAAAGATCTCTAATCAATTATCTATGGCTTCTGCACAAATTGATGATGAGGATTTGATATTGCTCACTCTAAATGGGCTACCCAATGAATATGATGCATTCAAGAGTGCAGTACATGCTAGATCTGATGCATCTCTATAGATGAACTCTGTTCTTTGTTGTGTTCAGAATCAATTCATGTCGACAACAAATTGAAGCATTCCACTGGTGGTAATGATCTTAGTGTTGCTTATATGGCAACCAAAGGTTCCAACCATAATTCTGCATCTGGTGGTTTTAGATCTCAATCATCTCAGTTTGGATCAAATCGAGGATTTTCCTCACATTCACGAGGTCGAAATTCTTAGAGGCAGAGAAGGAAGATATCAATCTCGAGGAAGATTTAACAATCGCAGCAGTGGTAGATATATCTCATCACCTAGTTGTCAGATTTGTGGAGGTCTCAAGTCATTCAGGCTTTGATTGTTGGTATCATATGGATTGCAATTATCAGCCTTTGCCTTGACAGTCCTCCCAGTCACATGTTCAAGCAAATACAAGGGCTTACACTGCATCTGTTCCTCAAAATTCTTCTTGATTCTCACCAAATTCACAAGAGCTAAATGTGCCTTGGTACATTGATTCAGCAACTACCAACCATATGACCAATGATCTTACAAACCTATTTCTGTATTAGCCCTATTGAGGTCAAGATCAAGTAACAATAAGTAATGGCTTTGGCCTACCCCTACTTTATCTTTTCATCTTAATCATCTTCTTCATGTCCCTTCTATTTCATCAAACTGCCTCTCAATGCATCAATTGACTAAGGATCATAATTGCATTATTATTTTTTATGCAAATTCGTTTGTGATTTAGGACAAGTCCACAAACCAGGTCCTGCATAGAGTACTAATGTCAATTGACTATATTAGTTCAATGGTTCTTTCTCTACTTGTTCACCTCAAGCTTATAAATCATGCACTTCTGACTCAGACTTTGCTTTGTTATGGCACCAAAGACTAGGACATATCTCTCATGAGAAGTTTCAACATTTAGTTTCTCATTTACCGAATTCCCCTATTTTGAATAAAATTTTGTCTTCCATTGATTGTAAGGTTTCAAAAACTCATGGACTGTCCTTTAAGCTGTCTAATTCAGCAGTGGCTTCTCCTTTTTCTTTGGTTCATAGTAATGTATGGGGTTCCTTTACCTCTGATATTCGATTGTATGTTTTGTTCATAGATGATTTCATTAGATTTACTTGGGTATATCCTTTATTTTATAAAGTGAAGTATATTCCAAATTTCTTGAATTCAAGGCATATGCTAAAAATCAATTCCACACTTCTCATAAAATTTTGAGAACATATAATGGCACTGAATTTGTGAATAAAAGAATGGATTATTACTTCTCTTCTCAAGGTATTATTCATCAATGTAGTTGCCCCTACACTCAAGCTCAAAATGGCATTGCTGAAAGAAAGCATGGGCATATCACTGAGACATCCATTGCTCTTTTCCATCACTCTTCTTTGCCATTACATTTTTGGTTTGATGCTATTGCCACTGCTATATTTCTTATCAATCGCATGCCTAGTACAGTTCTTTCTCATAAATCACCATTTGAGTCTTTGTTTCATACCATGCCTGACTATTCTTCAAAGTTTTTGGATGTCAATACTTTCCATGGCTTAAACTATACACCTCTCACAAATTGCAACCTAAGCCTCTTGCATGTGTTTTCATAGGATATCATCCCACCATCAAAGGGTACATATGCCTTGATCCTCTCTCTGGAAAAGGCATATATATCTAGACATGTTCTTTATAATGAAACATGTTTTCCTTTTTCAAACATTTTTTCTACTCCTTCGTTGTCTAGTTCTCCTTTCTCTATATTAGGTCTTTCTTTTAGACTCCATTATCTCCTAACTCACTCTCTTCATCATCATCATCATCATCATTATCATCTTCAATTTCAACTCCAATTCCTACCTCATCTCCTGTTTCTAATCATTCTTATTCACTCCATTAGCATTGATCTTCCTATTTTACCAACTCCACCTTTAGTTTCCCCACCTACACTTCATGCAGCTCTAGTTTTATCACCTTCAGTTCCAGTTTTATCAACTACAGTTCCTGCAGTTCTGGTTGTATCTAATTTTTTCGCAGCTGCAACTTTACCTCCTGTAGTTGCTCCTCACTCTTCTCTAAATTCTCATTCTATGACTACTAGGTCCAAAGCCAAACGTCTTGTGTGTTTTCAAGCTTCTTCTTTTGATCTTGCCACCAAACTTCTTCACACTAAGCCAGCCATTATCAAAGAAGCTCTTCAATCTTGTGTTTGGGTTACAGCTGCAAGAGGAATTCAAAGCTCTCCAATCTCAAGGAACTTGGGATCTAGTTCATCTTCTTTCCTCAAAATTGGCTATTGGTTGTAAGTGGGTTTTACGTATTAAAAAGAATTCAGATGGTAGCATTGCTAGGTACAAGGCTAGACTAGTTGCAAAGGGATAATTGCAACAATAAGGGATTGATTTTCAGGAGACATTTAGTTCAGTTGCTAAGCAACCAACCATTAGAATTTTTCTATGCATAGCTCTTCACTTCAACTGGCCTATCAAATAACTAGACATCTCTAATGCTTTTCTCCATGGTCAGCTTGAAGAAGAAGTTTATATGGTTCAGTCGCAGGGGTTTGTTAATTCTTCTACTCCCACTCATGCGTTCTGGCTTAAGAAAGCCTTATATAGTCTGAAACAGGCCCCTGGGGCTTGGTACTCCACTTTTTCAGCTTTCTTACTCACTCAAGGGTTTCATAACAGTGTCTCAAACACTTCTCTTTTTATTCGAAAGACATCTACTAGTCATACTTTGCTTGTCATCTATGTTGATGATATACTCTTGACTAGAAGTGACAATCATCTCATTGATCAATTGCTTCATCAAATGCCCTTAACATTTTCTATGAAGGAGCTTGGTTCCATCTCCTATTTTCTGATGATTTCAGTGCTTGCTCATCGTTATGGATACTTTCTTTCTCAACGTAAGTATGCGGCAGAGCTTCTACTTAAGGCTGGCTTGGTTGATTGCAAGCTTTGTTCCACACCTTCGGCTATTAAAACTTCTAGCTCTCCATCTGATGATCTTCCCTTCTCTCATCCTTCTTTTTATAGGAGCATAGTTGAGGGTCATCAGTATCTCACCATCACAGCGTCAGATTTGTCCTTAGCCGTAAATCAAGGTTTTCAACATATGCATGCCCCTACCATTGCTCATTTTCAAGCTATAAAAAGACTTCTTAGATACATCAAAGGCACTATCTCATGGGTTGAGTTTCACAGCTAGTACTTTTAATCTTCATGTTTGTTCAGACTTTAATTGGGCTAGTGATGCAGTGGATAAGAGATGAACTTCTGGGTATTGTATTTTTTTGGGTCCTAATTTGATTTCTTGGTTTGCGAAGAAACAGTCTTGTACACACCCTATTTTGACCTGCCCTAAGACTCAGACGCTTTCTTTTGATTACCCGATGATGAAGACAGGAAGGTATTTCTCACAACATCCTTAGTAAGAAAGATGAAATTTTTACTTCATTTCCAACCTTAAGCCTTCTTTGGCCAAGTGTTCAAGTGCCCGTTCAAAACTTTCTTTCGAAACATTCCTTCCGCGCTTTGTTTTGAATATTTCCGTAGTGTTCCAAGGCTCACTTTTAAACTTCAAAATAAGACTTTTTCTAAGGAAATCGAGCAAAGAACAGTGCGAAAATAGGAGAAAAAGATGATAATTCTATCAAAAATCCAATTTCATGCAAAATTGTCAACTACGGCCAACTTTTTTGGCCGGCTAGCTAAATTAATTAGCCGGCCAGCCAAGAAATTGGAGCCAGCCAAGGTTTTCTGGTCGGTTGGCCAATTTAAACAGGGCAGTTGCGATAGAATTCTCGTTAGAAGTGTGAGGAACATTCTATTCCAAATCTTTTTTGATACAGTCATGCACAAGATACACACCTCCTCACCTTCCACTATCTCCATTTGGCCTCCTTTGTCAAAAGAGCATTTGTCTCTTACCCCAAAAGGAGCATCCAATGCAACCATCCTAGTCACTCCATCATCCTCGCCTTCACCTTGTCCCCTCTCACCTGCTTGATTAAGCCTTGCAGAGTGTGTATCTACTCATCTCTCATTGTCAAGAAAGCTGGCCTCTTCAACAAAGTCCTTAGCCTTTGTCATCTTATGGCCTTTGTTTTCAATATTATCCCCCACCACCTTCTCTATTAAGCACTCTTGGATTGCCTATATGAAGGTGATCATATTGTTAGGAGAAGAGGATTGAAAACTAAGAGAAGAAGGTTAGAGAGA